AATTGGTGTTTTTTTTTACTAACAACCTTTTTTTGGACATAGAGGGATAAAAAATACATATTGAAGGTGCTAGACAAATTTACTTCTCTATCACCCGTCTATAGAAATACAACCTTAGATAAATTTTTTTGCCTATTAAAGGTATTAAAGGTATTGTGCCTAATAAAGGGATTAAAGGTATTGTGCCTATTAAAGTCATTGTGCGTCCATGTCTGAAGGACAAGATACTTAATAAAACTTCTACTTACTATCTTTTTTCTTATGATTAAAGGATTAAGGGGGGCCCGAAGGCCTTTCCAGTTTGACCAGGACAGATGGACGAGCAAAGGCTCAGCCAGAAGGGGTGGGATTTGCTAACAGCTGCCCGAGCGCCTCCGAAGGAGACCTAATAACTCAAGAGCAACTGCTTCGCGAATGAATGGATCGGAATCGCGATGATGCATGGGTTAGGTTGCACGTCGAACTCTTTGTCGAGTTCGACAAGTACGGTTACCTGGGTCCCTAAGCCTGCTCCTAGTGTTAGAGCTGAAGGCGTCTAATGCAAAAGTTGTTGGATCTGATAGATCTAAGGACTATCAGACTATCTCTGAGTGAGTAGTGACGTTCTTATAAACGTTTTAAATTTGGTTGGCCAAGCGCTCAATTACGAAATAAAATGAAATGTAATGAAATTTGATTTGATTTGATAATTGAATTTGTTAGAAGGTTTTCTTTGTTGAGAAATTAACTTACTTTAATTTCCAAATAAAACTAAATTAGTGTATCGTAACATTTTTAATTGCATTTTACGTCTTAATCATTCCTTTACAACCCGATTAAACACGATGTTAAATTCTATGGATTCACGGTAAGACGCTCTCTTGTATAAGACTATAGTGATCGAAGCGTGGTAATTTAGATAATACAATCATATACAGTCGTGGTCAACTAATTAGGGACAATCTCTAGTTAAGCCAAATTGTGAATATTTTTTTTATTTTCCAACGAGTCTTAGCAATATTCCAAATCTTTTACATGTAAGTGTAATTAGTAATTTATGTGCGCGATTATACAAACAATAACAACTTCTTAAACATTAAACCTCTTTACAGTATAGCTGATACAATATCATAGTGCTATTGGTTCAAAGAATGCTGGCTGGCCATTTAATTAGGGACACTGAGGTATTGCGTTCTAATTTAAAAATTTGAATTTTAATACTTTTTTGTTTCTTTTCTTATTGTTTAGTGGTCGTTTTGACGGCAATCCCGATTTTTTATTTTAAGTTTTGAGAATTATTTTGAAGAAAAATGGGCAAAAATAAAAGTTGCGATCCGACACTACGAAAAATTATCATGAAGTTTGTTGAGTGTGGTTGGTCATACCGAAGGATAGCACAACATTTAAATTGTTCAAAAACTATGGTATGCAATGCAGTGCAACATTTCAAGCGCTATAACACAGCTTTAAACGTGTCCAGAACAAAAAGATCGAGAAAACCGACTCCGCAGGAAGATAGAATGATAACCAGGTTAGCTTAGAAAGATCCGTTTCTAGGCTCTATTTTAATTAAACACGAAGTGTTTGGGGCAAACGAAAGAGCCGGTATATCTGCGAGGACCGTTCGACGACGTTTGGTAGAAGCAGGGTTGTTCGGAAGAGTGGCTCGCAAAGTACCGTTGTTGAAGAAAGAACATAGAAATGCTCGTTTGGCATTTGCACGTAAATATGGACATTGGACCTACGCCCAATGGCAACATGTACTTTTCTCTGACGAGACCAAGGTTAATTTGATTTCTTCAGATGGAAGGCAATATGTACGGCGTCCTGTAAAAGCGGAAATGAATCCAAGATTCACAAAAAAACAGGTGAAACATGGCGGTGGAAACATTAAAATATGGGGTTCATTTTCTGGACGTGGAGTGGGACCTGTGAGGAAAGTTCAGGGTAACTTAGACCAACATCAATACAAGACAATATTGGAAGAAACTATGCTTCCCTATGCTGAGGAGCATCTCCCTATTATATGGACGTTTCAGCAGGATAACGACCCGAAACATACCGCACATTCAGTCAAGTCGTTTCTTACCAATTAGTTTGTATCGGTGCTAGATTGGCCAGCAAATAGCCCGGACCTCAACCCAATTGAGCACCTTTGGCACGAAATCAAGAAAAAAGCTGCCACTTATCGTAATACAAATTTGGATGAACTTCATGAAACTTTTCGTGAGGCATGGGCAAACATTCCTGTCGAAACATGTCAGAAACTGATAATGTCTATGCCACATCGGTGTCAAGCGGTAATTACTAACAAAGGTTTTGCTACTGGGTACTGATTTTACACGTAATAAAATGGGGCTGTTAAAGATATTATAACACTGAAGATTATAAGTTTTGTGTAACTGTATTTTTCATTTTACTTTACTGTCCTTAATTTAATGTCCACTACAGAATTGTACCTTAATATTTAATACATGTTTCATCTTTGATATTAAATACTTTTTCTATTTATTAAATCTTTTATTTACAGCCATTTATAGCATAATAATCGGACCACATTATGCAAATAATAGGTGCTGAGAAATCAATAGGGTTTTATATTTAAATGTACATAACCGGTTATAGCCCTTTACTATCTTAAATGTCCCTAATTAGTTGACCACGACTGTATATAATATACTGTTGAAAATGAGAACTCGATAAAAGTGTGTTAGTGCTGACACACGACAGTCGATCTTCTTCCGTACGATTATCATTTGACGTATTACATGCAAAAGGTAAACACATTTAATAACATGGAAAGTATATATGTATATAATAATATGTACTGTTATTCTATTTATATAGTATTTTACTGGTGGTAGGACCTCTTGTGAGTCCGCACGGGTAGGTACCACCACCCTGCTTATTTCTGCCGTGATGCAGTAATGCATTTCAGTTCGAAGGGTGGAGTATCGGTTGTACAGTAAAAACTGAGGCCTTAGAACTCATGTCTCAAGGTAGGTGGCGGCATTTACATTGTAGATGTCTATGGGCTTTCGGTACAAAAAAAAACATGTACATATTTACGTTTATTTAATTTTAATTATATATCCGATAAAATATTACATATTTATACGTTTTTATGTATATTATATATTTAATTAATGCACATGCTGCCAGATACGTATACAATAACTATGTTACGAAAATTTATGTAACTCTGACAGGCTTCATTTTGGTTAGATAACGCTAACACAATTAAGAATAATTAAAATGAATGAGTACAAAGTAATATTTTAAAAACTAATTATTATTAATTTAATATCTTTGACACCTTTGCCAAAATTTTGGTACACTAACTCCATACATAATTAAAAATATAAAAATGTCTAGTAATTATTTTGCTAACTGGTAGTATACAGGGCGCGACAATTGGATTCAATAATACATTTTGCCGTTTAAGTGTCGTAAGTAATAGTAAGGTAGATTATTCAACTTAAATAAATAATAGAACAAAGATATTACTACCCCTCACATATAGGGGCTATAAAATGGAATCGATATTCATGTCGTAAGGGGGGAGTAAGGGGAGATCGGAATGCTACCTTCACCGGCCTTATTGTCAACCCCACCTGCACGCGCCGGATGGCGGCGGCGACCAACAGGTTGACGTGGTGCTCCCTGCTAGAGAACGAACGGGGCAATGGCGACCGAGCCATGGCGGTATAACCATACACACCCGTCAGAACAACCTGTACGGAAGAGGCGTCAGAAACCTTGGGGATCAAATGTGTCGACTATTATCAAAGCCGGCAATCTGACTATTGGACAATTATTGGTAAATCAGAAAAACGAATTATTGACTTTGTATTCCATTGGCAGTCACAAAACTCTTCGGAACGACATCTTAGATAAATAACAGGTTAACTATTAATCTTTATTTAATGCAGGTTTTGAACCGTATTCTTTGAAGGAGACGATTATATTCAAATCAATCTGTATTGACATATCAATAACATTTTTTTGTCCAAATGCACAGATTGCCACCTTTGATAATAGACGACTCAAATACCCCCTAAAATGCTGTTGCAGAAGGCAACGGGAAACCACTGCACTAATTTCCCACGAGAGTCATGAGCAGGTCGTATCCGACTGATGCATGACCACGACCACTCTGTCAAGAGTGTACGAACAGGAAGAATTTATGTCGTAAACTCCAAAAAAGTACTGGCAATATAAGTTATTACGAACAACAGAGTGATCTGAACAGAATTTCGAAAAGAATCTAGTTTTAAATTTTTTTTAAAAAAAGCACTCCTTATGACAATTTGTGTGAAAACAACATTCATTTTTCTATGTATGAACCGAAAGAAAAATATTTGAAGATTACAATCAATTGTTTAAAAAAAAAATAGATTTATGGATATGGATCGATAGATTAAACGATTTTCAACTTTATGTTAAAAATGGTGAGAGGGTGCAATATTTATTTGAATTCGCTAATCGACAGCACCCTAATGAACTGTTCTAATAAGATTAAGTTCATACACACGGCGTTGTAGCAATTATCATATCGTAATCAACAGCTTAAAAATATTATGAAACTATTTTCATTATTTGCGATTATTAAACAATACTCATAAATGAAGGCCTTATTTACATTCGCATACTGGTACTTATTGCTTGAACACTTTGGAGCCAACAGCAATTAAAACTTGTGGATGTTCCAGAAACTATCTTAACCTAATGATAATATATTATGTTAAATGTTTGTTTTAACTTTTTTTTTAAATGTTTCAACATCGTATATAGTTGGAAGACAGTATTTTTTGCTCATTAAGGCATACGAGAAAATCAATAACGATTTATTTACAACAATTTTATGAAATAATGTTCGATTGTTTTCGTTTAAGCTAGTGTTTTAATTACTACACTAACTACCAATGCTGATACATAATACAATTTTGAATTTTATTCCGAATTTGATGTTTTTGATTTTTAAAATTTAAGGCAAGTATGGATTTTAGCCAAAGGTGGACTACACTCTAGAATGAGATGTTATTCAATGGGAATGATTTTGATTTTATAAAATTTTAACGACGCTAATTAAAACTTAATACTAATATTTATATACACCATTTCTGTAACATTATTAAAAACCCTCTGATGATATCAACAAACCACCATATTGAACTAATTTCATATATTATATTTACAATAGATTTTAAATTAAAACAACTAGATTTATTCCTTTTTTATACCGTTTTTCGTTGCCATTTTATTAACGTCATTTCTAACGTGACCGTTTTTGATGATTGTTCCGTTGGTCAACTTTTCTTTTTCGGGTTTCTTTTCTCCGGGCTTTCCGTAGGCGTTGTAGTAGAAGTCGTAAAACAGATAGTAGAAGAAAATGGAGTTGGGTAGAGTGAAGACGACGGACCAACGAGGATAACCGCAGTCGTAGAACAAAAGTTGCGCCGAATGGAGAAATGCTATGCAGAATTGGAGCTGAAATAAAAAATTCAAAATATAAGAACTCGATTGCTCGAAATAAAGTTGAAGAAATTCCAACAGCACTACTATAAAATCATATAAGCTATAAAACAAAAAAGTAATGGTGAAAATCACTGGGTCGCATTGGATGCAAATGGTAACGGACCGACCGCTCTGGAGATCGATTGGACAGGCCTATGTTCAGCGGTGGACAGCTAACTAGTCTGGCCATAAATACTGTTACATAAAAACTTTTCTAGCAGGATTCTGCACCTGATCACGAGGCACGAAATACCCAAGCCTGGCATGAAACCAACGTTCCGGACTTTATAAGAGCTGAAGACTGGCCCTCATCTATCTAAGATCTCAATCCTTTAGACTTCAAATTATGTTCAGTTTTAGAGGACATGGCCTGCTCTAAACGACATAGCCACATTGAGTGTCTAAAAATATCTTTGAGTGAGCAGTGGTGAAATTTCCTTTGGAAACAGTGCGTAAACCCATAGATTCGTGGCCAAACAGATTAAAACCCTATATAAAAGCCAAAGTTGGCCATTTCGAATAGAATATATTTTTTATTTTGTTGTAAGACATTAATAAATATGTAGGTATACATTTTAATAATATTACATTACTTCATTTAAAAAAAAAGCATATTTTCATTTGTAACAGAACTCATAGCTGGACTGGATTTTAGCTGAGATGATGATGATCATGATGATGATGATAAAACAGATTCGAATGGTTTCATTTGTTTTTAATAAGTAATTATTACTTACGCGCCTACTTTTCATCTTTATCTCAATAATTTTGATACAAAGTTCCTAAGGGTTATACAAAATACAGTTTTCGTAACCTAATTCATAGGATATACACAAAATTTTCGAGATGTTGTTTTTACGTACGCACCTAACGTATCGTGGTGGAGTTTAACCGGTATTTCATAATAACAATTTAATTTTCAGCTTTTTTTGTCTTCGAGCATAGACCCAGATATTTTAATTGCTATTGAGTATCATTGTCGCTTTGTAGCATTGTGGCACAACCAAATCATTATCTACTAGACTATTTTAAAATCTCATTTGAGTAATTAAATGTAACAGCGTTAACACCACAGGAAGAATTGTCCCAGAGCCAGAAAAGATACGTGTAAAAATTACTCATTATATACAATAGTCATCAATGAATATTTATCAAGGTACTGACCATTTGTAGAGTTGTGATATAACGTTTCCAAAACAGATATTTCTGGAAGCGAGGACCCATGGCCGCCAACATATAGTAAGAGTACATTATTATATGCACAAAGGAATTGATCACTCCGATAAGGGTGCCGTGACCGCCAGGATAATATTTGGTCGCGCCCCATGATATCATCGGCATCACTGTATGATGATACATGTGTAGAAACGTGATCTGCCGTTCCTTTTTTCTAATGACGAAGAACACCGTGTCTAATAACTCAGACATTTTGGCCAGAAAGTATATGTAGACGCCACGGGCGACCTGAAATTCATTAAAACTAATAAGATCGCAGATCATATATATTTAATAGATAATATTTTTTAAGATATTATATTTTTATTATTATTGCTTAGAACGAGCTCATGGCCCATCTAGTGTTAAGTGGGTACTAGAGCTCGTAGACATCTACAACGTAAATGTCGCCACCCACCTTGAGATATGAGTTCTAAGGTCTCCGTTTTTACAGTACAACGGCTGCCCCACCGTTCAAACCGANTCGCAGATCATATATATTTAATAGATAATATTTTTTAAGATATTATATTTTTATTATTATTGCTTAGAACGAGCTCATGGCCCATCTAGTGTTAAGTGGGTACTAGAGCTCGTAGACATCTACAACGTAAATGTCGCCACCCACCTTGAGATATGAGTTCTAAGGTCTCCGTTTTTACAGTACAACGGCTGCCCCACCGTTCAAACCGAAACGAATTACTGCTTCACGGCAAATTAGGCAGGGTGGTCGTACCTACCCATGTGGCTTACAAAATGCTCTACCACCAGTATATTTTAAGTAGGATGCTAATGAATTCGCTTTAATGTTGTTAACATAGATAAATTAATTGTTTCAAATTTTAAACGCATAAATATTTTGGTACAAAGTCACTCACTCTCATAGCTTCTGGTGATTCCGAGAAATCGACTGGCTGGCATTTCCAACTGTAGTTTTTTAACCATCCTGCTTCAAGGCCCTGAAATTTAAAGAAATTTCTTATTTTTTTACTTTACTAGCGACCCGCCCTCGCTTCGCTTCGGAAACATGAAATTTTTACTATTGATTATTTACGACATCACATTAGAAACCTCAAAAATAACAGTATTTGTCCACTATTTAATGTATGCTATTATACATATAAACCTTCCTCTTCAATCACTTTATCTATTAAAAAAAACGTATCAAAATCCATTGCGTAGTTTTAAAGATTCAAGCATACATAGGGACAGACAGATGTAGGGACAGAGAAAGCGACTTTGTTTTATACTATGTAGTGTAGTGATTTAAACCGAAAACAGCTTAATCACTGCTTTAAAGATATCTATATGTTAATACGTGAAGCAAAAATATGCGCGTATATATATTTACGAAATATGCGCGGACGGAGGAGTATATAATTTTCCACACTTATAGAGAATATAGGGAAGGAATGCAGAATGCTAATATTTTTTTAAATGATGCCTAAAAATACATTAAATCAATAAAAAAAACATTACACACACTACCATGTATTTGACGCACACACGCATGCATACTATTTATTTATTGTCAATCTTTTGTTCTTGACGTCTGTGGTCAAATTTGACCACAGACGTCAAGAACAAAAGATTGACAATTGAGAATAATCTCAATAATAAATCTCAATTGAGAATAATTATTGTTTGTCTTTATTAATATTTTTCTATAGTGTAGTCTTAGCGAAATTTGAGATTTATATAAGTGTAATAATAGTCTTTGAAAAAAGAATCATAATAGTGTACAGACTTATAATTTCAATTAATTGTAGTCGAATTTTGACTACCGAGGGATGACTAGTATATATAAATACGACCTTATTGCTTTAGTTTTATATTTACTGACCTCATTGAATAACCAAATGCTGACAATAACTTGTATGAAGTTATACACGACTAAAGTCTTCTGAAGTTGAAAAGGTTTCTTATCGGCCATATACCTTGGACCCCATTTCAGCGAAAAGTACAGATAGAGGCCGAGAATTGTCAATCCAGGAACCGGACTCGAAATAAGAAACCAGTCATTCGTTCTAGGATCTGTAAAGTAAAATTAAATGTTATTTTTTCAATTTTCTAATGGAACCCTCCATACTGCGAAACAAACAGGCTATTGGCGTATTTGTTTTTACGATTATATTTTAAGTATACTTACTGGTGGTAGGACCTCTTGTGAGTCCGCACGGGTAGGTTCCACCGCCCTGCCTATTTCTGCCGTGAAGCAGTAATGCGTTTCGTTTTGAAGAGTGGGCCAGCCGTTGTAAGTATACTTGAGACCTTAGAACTTATATCTCAAGGTGGGAGGCGCATTTACGTGGTAGATGACTATGGGCTCCAGTAACCACTTAACACCAGGTGGGCTGTGAGATCGTCCACACATCTAAGCAATAAAAATAAAAAAAAATTTTTTATTGGGAATGAATGTGGTACTACTTCTTAAAAAAATACTAATTTAAACTGAGCAGTGATACACCATGATTATACTCTGATCGAAACTAAAAAGGTATTTTAAATAAATTTCTTACCAGCTAATTCTATGAATAGTCTGTTATATGTCCTCGTAAACGAGTTGTTGAAAAGTGCCATTTTACTTCTCTATCTATCTTCTAACGTGACGTCAGAGGGCTGTCATGAAGAAGAGATCAGCATTTTAAATTTGTTTTTTTTCTAATTTCTGAAAAAGAACACAAGGAATTTGTTAGCTGATTTTACTTATGGTGCCTATTTAACGATATGCGGGTCTTGTGAATCGTAAAGCTTGAACATTCGTGATTGCGTATAAAACATTTAATAATGCTTAGGCTAATAATGCCTATGTAGATAAAAAAACAACTGGGTCATTGAGCAAATCCTCATATATGTAGGAAATACACTTCAAAGGAAAATCTCGCTGGATAAGTTTCGATAAGAGAAGAAATATGATATGTTCTCAATCAAAAGTGTGAATGAATATATATTTAAGAAATGTATAAAACATTCGAAACAATATTCAAATTGCGTATCACTAAAAGAATATCAAGACATGATAAAATCACAAAAGTGTTTGCACAGTCCTTATTCACCACAAAGGATTTTATAGTAATCATTCCAATACTCTAAAATTCACACGAAATTATGTAAATTGAACACAACATTTCCAGTCCAAATTGACACAGTGAACATACAGGATGTTCATGACATGTTCTTCTTCAAACGAGGCTTGTGGAGAGTATTAAGCGTTAGGCAGCGGCTTGGCTCTGCCCCTGGCATTGCTGAAGTCCATGAGCGACGGTAACCACTCACCATCAGGTGGGCCGTATGCTCGTCCGCCTACAAGGGCAATAAAAAAAAAAAAAAAAACATCTCGTGTACACATTACATATTGAGATACATATATAAGATTGAGGATTATTTAGTGAACAGACAAACTTATAAATCTAGTTTGGTGGTAATAAACACAGATAGTCACGCTGTCATTGTTTGTAAATATATATGTATCATGAAGATATCGTAGCGTGATTCAGACACATGCTAAATATTTTCTGTTCTCCGATAGCCACCCAATTCCTACCGCAAATGGCTTTCAAATTACGGTGCTAAAGTGGCTAGAATTAGAAATTTTGAGCTCTCCGAACAATTACATTGACGAGCCACTTATAGTAAAATAAATCTGAAAAATAATTAGCATCCTGTGCCATTAATTTAATCTTGTTGATTCCTCATTAATAATCGACTTCAATGGACTTCAATTCAATGAAATTCTCCAAGACTATTTGGCATTGTTACTACAGTTGTCTGAATAAATAAATAAACATTGATTTTACTTGCTTAGTAATGAACCGGAATTATATAGATGTTTCTACAATCAGATTTTTATTCCTACCTATGATAGCCCTGAGAGGCTATTTCACCTTCTCCTTGACGTGTAGGTGAGCTCACGAGGCTCAAACCGGGAGTGTTGACAACACTGTCACTAGTAAGAGCAGTGCTTCACAGAATCTACCACCGGATCAGTAACGCGATCCACTGAGAAATCCGACGAGAAACTCAGTGAGCTAATAATTCTGACGTACATAGTAATTATTATACAGTGACCAAAAATATTAACTATAGTATTTTCCAACGCTTACTACATAGTAAAACCATTAATATAGTTTACTTATTCACAAAATTCCTACTGAAAATCGTCGACAACACAGATTCTAAAAATCATTCAGCATTTTTGTGAAGCCTATAAATATAAGTAGTGCCAGAAGAATTTGGCTATAAAGCTCTCGTATACGCATTGCAGTTATTCTGTTCGGATTTGTTACTCAGCATTCCTGGTTATCTATCTCAATAGGCAAAAAAAAAACAGTTCAATTACATTATTTTACCGCTTTATTTTGTTTAGTGTTTATTGTCATCAATATTTTTGAATATTGTATTTTTTCAACAAGTCTATTGCAAAATATAAAATTAATGTAAATCTTTAGTTTATGGTCGAATATTTTTCGGACACTAGGATACAAAAAATATTGAAAATACAATTCCTTTTGGGTTTTGGGTTAGTATTTTAAGGACGTTCGTATTATTAGTAAAAATATCGGCACTCAGTTTTAACAGTGACCATTAGAAATGAGCCCACAGCCTAAATCAGTACATAAAACATAGCAAGCAATAGAAGTACCAAATTATAATTTAGATAGAATTGATTTTACTTTAGCTCAACTCTCTAATGAAACTGAGACACTTATACAACCATATTTACTCAGTACACTAACATTTTGCTTTAGATAAACACCATCATAAAAACTCCATGTCCGGTTTTCCCATTCGCAGCACTAACGTTCACATTTCATTTGGATTACATAAAAATTACATTCACTAATACATTTCTTGGAACGAAACGCGCACTCCGCTCCGATTCTCAGTGGAAACTGTGGTTCTATACTCTCCTTGTCCGTCACAGGATGGGGGAGAAATGAGGGCGAGTTAGGGTGTTTTATACGGACTGTAGGCGCTAATATTAAGCGCCTTCACCACTTTCGCGTATAAATTTTTTACCTACGCTGCAGCTACTGTAGCTTCCAAACATATTGTTACGGTAGGCAGCGGCTTGGCTCTGCCCCCGGCATTGTTGACGTCCATGGGCGACGGTAACCACTCGCCATCAGGTGGGTCGTATGCTCGCCTGTCTACAAGGGCAATAATTAAATAAAGAAGGCGTACACGCCTATCCCAATTATTACTTTTTTTAAATAAAACACATTAATTAATTTTTAAAGTAATTTAAAAAAAATACGCATACAAAATAATTACTTGTTAAATTAATTAGGTCGCAACGTCTGGGTTGATTTCGTAAAGTAAATATAGTTTTTATTTGACCCAAACAGTAAATTGCATTTTAGTTGAATAAGGATATAATATATTTTTTTGTAAAATTTAAAATTTAATTTACATATTAATTTAAACTTTTTACCCCAGTTGTCCTCGAATCACTGTAGTAGTAAAGTAATTGCATTTTCAACAATTTAATTACAATATAGAAAATAACATATTATTATGTAGACTTATAATATAGAATTCGCAATCTGTTCGAACCTATCGAACAAACAACTTAAAGATTACTTAAAGATTATTGCCATTATAAGAAGATCTGTTGGCTTCTACCGACCCGTAAATTTTGCACGGTGATCGTTCTTTTGAACGCATACCTGTAGGTCTTCTTTACTGGATAATAATATCCAATTTATTTAGAACTGTATAATAATCCTTCTTCGGTGAGAATACGGTTGTTTTATCGTGGTTTATTGGCGACTGAGGTTGTGTGGAGCGGTGTCGTAACGACTTCGCTTGGTCGCTTGCCCCACATACTTGGCTCGAAGAGTGGTGCTAGGACCACCTTACTACACTCTCACTGAATAAACTCGTTTTCGTTATATTATTACTTATCCGACTTTTGATGACGCAATGTATATTAAAGTTTGTATGCGTATTTTTCAATTGTTTTGATTTTGTGAGGGACTGTTCATGTTATCTGATTTATTTTGATTAAGACGATTTTTTTATCGAAAATGTAGCCTAGTATTTCACTGTTTTATTTTATTTTATTGCTCAGATAGGTGAACGAGCTCACAGTCCACCTGGTGTTAAGTGGTTACTGGAGCCCATAGACATCCACAACGTAAGTGCGCCACCCACCTTGAGATATAAGTTCTAAGGTATCAAGTATAGTTACATTAGTTACATTTTATTATATAAGAGTCTTTTTGTAATATTCTGTTTACCCCTCACTTGTGCTTATTGAATTTAAATTCTGTACTTAAATATTTTGTTTTATTTACAGTATTTATTTTTGTATCATAAAGTTTTTATTTTGTAGCAAAAATGCGTGGAATGTGGAAGAGATCGTAGGTTACAGCAGGCTGTTGATACCGGACCGGGAGAGTCTAAATGAGTGTTCAAGAATCATGGCCAGTTAAAGCAGAACGCAAGACTGCTACACGAAGGAACTGAGCAGAGCGTTGCGGTCTACCTATGCAGACTCACAATACGCCATACCACGCGGAAATTACGTAAATTAAAAAAATTCGCGGGACTCATTTTTATTTCGCGATGTTATTACTTCGTCGTTAAATTCATTGATAGACACGGTTCAGATACGTATTTATAAACGCACTAGTGTACCCGTCCGCTTCTCTGGCCATTTAAATTAACATTATTATTTCTCACCCCCACAAAGATTCTCATCATTAACGCCCCCGCAACTGGTGTAGGGAGTCCAACACTCATACAAATATTAGCCTATCCGTTAAGTACATGTATTTTCTACAGGGATACCAAGTTTCAAGTCAATCGGATGCACGGTTCAGTAGTTATAACGGAACATCCGTGCAAACCACTGTAGATTTATATATTAGTATAGATGCCGCTTCGTAAATTTATTTATTGTTGTATTAATTTTTTACTGACCTAGGTGTACGCCAATGTTAATGTTCTTGCTCGTAAATTATCAAAGGCGCTTTCATACAAGAGACGTGTACTTTATATCGATCTAATTCACGTCCCAAGAGATACGAACGGTAATACTCTAGTGCAGTTACATGTGAACTGTTCTTTGACACCGTTATTTATATCTGTGTTTAAATTACTACAAAGTACATACACTCAGTGACGGATTTAGGGTTGATACCGCCCTTAATATTAGAATATTTTGTTTAATTAATAAAATTAATTTAAAATAACTTTATATTATTTCTTATATAAATTAATTTGAACTCATTTTCAAAGGAGACTCTGTCTTTACTTCTGTCGTCTCTGAAATTTTGGCATTTAAAAATTTTTGTCGCCTCTCAAGTCATGCCGTAAATCCATTGCTACATACGCTGTTGAAGCGTAGCAATTCATGAAACATAACAAATATATAACGTGTATGTACACTCCATTTAATTTATTATCAGAGAGAGACTGGACACTACTAGCGTGAGCATGAGGCTGAGTTTCTCTTACTGTCAGTCTATTTATAATTACTGGTGGTAGGACCTCTTGGGAGTCCGCGCGGGTGGGTACCACCACCCCNTTAAAAAAATTCGCGGGACTCATTTTTATTTCGCGATGTTATTACTTCGTCGTTAAATTCATTGATAGACACGGTTCAGATACGTATTTATAAACGCACTAGTGTACCCGTCCGCTTCTCTGGCCATTTA